AAACAGTTGCATCTGCTCTCTTCCTGTACCCAAGGAGGGATGCATAAACAACCTTATATCAGGTTAGGTTACTCTGATTTTGTGGTTTGGGTTGGTGATTTGGATTTGAATCCCTGATTCTTGTGGAGGGTGAATGGGAAGCCACCAATCAAAACCACTGTTTGGGGGGAAGTTGATTATGAGGTCTAGCTTTCTGTCGGTTGCAGAAAGTGGCAGTGGCCCACAAGCGAAGGTGCGCGGCAGTGTTTTTCCCGGCTTCGATCGCCATGGGCCACCGTACCTCTTTGGCTTCCGTCGGTTTGCGGTTTATCTTGGAGTCGGCTTTCGCTTTATTTCGGGGGTCCGATACGATCTGTTCCCTCACGACCTGTTCCCCACAAGTAGTTTAGTGATGGAAGACGTAGCTGCCAGATGCAAAAGCTTGGATTTGGATTAGGGTTGTGGGATCAGAGAGTTTATCCCCGCTTCTGTGACAAGGGAATCTCCCTCCTGAATGGGGGCTTAGTCTTTGGGAAGCCCTCTTGCTTGTATCGCAGAAGTGGTCATTTCCCACGACCCTGTTTTGGAACGTGGCAAGAACCTTGGAGCTTGTGCCCCAGAAATTGCCAGAACACACGTTGCCAGGAGGAGGCGCACCGAGTGGGGGACTTGAAGCGGATCATTTTCCAGGAAAAGGCGGCGCAGCACGTTTCAGCAATAACAGCGTGCTGCCGCAGCTGCCCCATGGAAAGAAGGGACCTGGAATCAAAAAACGGCTTGCTTAACTGAAGTCTCTTTTGGGGCGCGGGGGAGATGCATTTTTTTTGCACTCTGGTCCGGCTGGTTGCTACGCGCGTGACTTTTTGCAAAAGAATAGTGCCAGCTTTCGGTCAGCCCTTCTCAAGTGATTTGTGCAATAAAACCCCGCGGATTGTTGGCTCCTTCCAGTAGTCAGCCCGTCTTCCTCGGTGTTTTTCCCTATATCTTTCCGCTCTGCTCCTCTCCCTTGTTTCCGGCTCAGCTTCCCGTCATGTCCTCCCAGCACCCTCCCTCCTCTCTGACCTTCTCTGCCCTCTCTCCTCTCAATTTTACCCGAAAGCATTAGCGAAGGGTGCTTTCGAAAAGGGGTGTGTGTGCGTGTGTGCGCGCGTGTGTTTCTGTTCGTTTGTGTGTGTGTGTGCGTGTGTTTGTGTGCGTGTGGGTACGCGAATCGGGCTAGCCGTGTAGGTGAGCCGCACAGGTCGCACTGTGCTTTCGTCCATGCCGGGTTTGCTTCCAGGGTGCCCACTTCCAATCGCCAATTTTGCTACAGAATCGTGAAAATACCTCTCATCCAAGGTCAGGGCGCCGCACAGCGCATTTCAAGCTCGACATGGTTCAACTTGACCGTTGCCCTGGTTATTGCGGCCCGGCAAGTGCGTCCATTCTTGGCCTTCGTGGTCTGGGCCATGGCCACAAGTAGCGTGCCAGTTTTCCTTGTGTGTGGGTCAGCCTTCAAGTAGGGGAACCCCAAAAAGCATGGTTTCCCCAGGGTTTCGGAGGCAAACCCATGGAACTTTCGCATCTGAAGCCTCAGGTGTCCAACTCCATATTTTTGGGCTTTCAGCTGGAGATGAGCCTACACATTCCGGACTCCAGGGAGCAGTCCTTCGCGTTCCTTCTTGGGCACTTGAAGCTTGGTGCACAAAAGGGGATGGCCGGAAACGATCCTGAAACTGGTCTCAGGTTGGTTTGCGTGCTGCGGTACCTTTTTTGTATTAAAAACAGTGCTCTGCAGGTCCTTTACTTGGGCAGTATTGGCTCTAACTTGACGACAGGTGGCCCGGAAGCATAGAAAGACGTTAAAGAAACCCTGGCACTACTCCACCACTCCCACCTGCTGAGAAACAAATCGTAAGCGCGTCACTGTCCCTGCTCACGCGTAGCTTCTGCGAGTTCTGATGAGCAAGCTTAGCATCATGCTTCACAATCTGTCCTATCAACTTCGTGCGCGCACGATGCTGTGGCTTAATGCTTCGCGCGAAGCCGTGCTGAGCGTGATGTTGCGCATGATGTTGCACATGATGTCGCATGACGTTGCGCACGATGCAGCGCATGATGCGCAGCTGCGCATGATGCTCTGCAACCTCTCTTGCAAAATCTTTCACGTCGTCTCTTGAAAAACTCTCTTGTCCATCTCTGTGCGCAGCTTGGCAGCGGTTGCGCGAGAAGGCTGGCAGTTTTAGCTGCGGAAGTGTACTTCGCATAGTACGTGTGCGCTCACACGTTGTGATTCTCGTGCTGCAGATACAGATGTGTAATTCGCCTGCTGCTTTTCCGTTTTAAAGTTGCGAGTTTTTCGGGCTGGAGATGCGAGAGCTCACTTTCCGAACAATACTTTCGCGCTGGAAAGTTGTGATTTCCGAGCTGAAGCTGCGGGAGCGCGCTGAGCGCGCCACCTTTGCACGTAGCCATTTGCGATTTTGCAGCCGGAGCTGCGGGAATGCATGTTGCGTACAACTTTGGGCTTAAATGTTGCGAGCCTCGTGCCATGGGAAAGCACTTCGTGCGCTCCTTTGACACTGAAAAGTTGCAACTTTGCAGCCGGAGCTCGGGAGCGCACTTCGCGTGCCAATTTCGAGCTGGAGCTGCGGGAGCGCACTTCGTGCACCACTTTTGCGCTGAAAAGTTGCGATTTCGAATTTCAAGCTGGAGCTGCGGGAGCGCACTTCCTGTACTACTTATGCGCTAAAAAATGCACTTTTGCAGCCGGAGCTCTGGAGTTACCTTTGTATGTAACTGTCAGCCGGAGCTGGGGGAATGTACTCCGCGTACTACTTGTGCTTAAAACTGCGATTTTGCAGCCGGAGCTCCGGAGTGCTCTTCACGTACGACTTTTGGTACTTAAAAAGTGCGATTTTGCAGCTCGTGCTGCTTTTGTGCTTAGAAGTTGCGATCTTTCGAGCCGGAGCCGCGGAAGCGCGCTTTGCGTACTAGCTTTGTACGTAAACTTCGGAGCTGCGGAGTGCTCTTCGCGTACTACTGTTGTACTTAAGAAGTCCGATTTTCCAGCCGGAGCTACGGGAATGCTCTTCCCGTATACTACTCTTGTACCTGTAGAAGTTGCAACTTTTGAGCCGGAGCTGCGGGAGTGCACTTCGCGTGCTACCTCTGTACTTAGAAATTGCGACTGTGCAGCACGAGCTGCGGCAGCGCGCTTCGCACTTTGCACGGGGCCACAGCGAGAGCTTCGACTCGCACGATCTCCGCAGAGGGTTCGCCGAGCTCCAGACACATTCGCGCGGCGCCGCAGCGAGAGCGCTTCGACATGCGCGATCTCCGCAGAGGTTGGCCGAGCTCAAGACGCGTTCGCGTCGCCGCAGCGAGAGCGCTTCGACGCGCGCGATCTCCGCAGAGGGTTTGCCGAGCTCAAGACATATTCGCACGGCGCCACAGCGAGAGCGCTTCGACGCGCACGATATCCGCAGAGGGTTTGCGGCTGCTTGATAATTGCATCGCTTGCCACGAAAGTCACAGACCCGGCTGCTGAAAATGCTGCGCTTGCCACGCAGCTCATAGCATCAGCGCGCAACGTATTGCGTGCACCACGAACAACGCATGCCATCGCATGCCACTGTCACAGAATGCTGCGCTGCCGTGGAATCAACACGCAGATCGAAGGCTGGCACGGCGCCATGGCGAGCGCGCAGTTTTGAAGAAAGGTCCGTTTCGTGCGAATCTGTCGCGCGCAAGACAGGCGTTGTAGCCTGACCCGGCAAAAGACATCCGCCGCGCGGCGGCCCTGCCGTCAAAATGCACTTTGATCTCAAAAAAATCCGCGTTTGGCACGAGGCTTCCTGAACACACTCCGCGTCGACAACCTCCGTGCGCCTGAGGCTTCCTAAAAAAGTGCCCAAGAAAACGCGTCTCGCGCGAGGCTTCCTGAAAAATCATAGCACGAACGACGTCCGCGCGGCACGTCCCTTCCAGCAAAAGCCGAAAAATGAGCACGGCACCACAGCGAGAGCGCACGCGCCAGCGCGAACCAAATTTCGCGCGAGACTGTTGCATCGAAGGCAACTTTTTACGCACAGGGCCAGCACTTTGAGCGCGAACTTACCGTAAGAGCCCCACAGTGTAAACACTATTAGGGGAAAGACTGCCTTCAAGTTTTGGACGATTGCGCAATCATCCAAAGCCAAAATGTGACAAACGTTTGAGTCTGAAACAAGAACAGGCCAAAGGTGACCCTGGGCAACAGGCGGTGTTGCGCGTGAGGTATACCGAAAGTTCAGTGAGAGAGCGAGAGGGCGAGAGAGAGAATGTGTTTGTTTGGTTTGTTTGTTTGTTTGTTTGTCTGTTTGCGTGCTCGCTTGCTTGCTTGTTTCTTTGTTTGTTTCTTTCTTTGTTTGGTTTGCTCGCTCGCTTGCGGTTTTGCCGACCCGCCTGCTTTTCGGCATTTGCCATGCTACGTCATACCAGGCAATGTGCCACCATGCTGCTGACCATAGATCTCCTTTTTAGGTTAGTTTGGTTCCAAATAGATGGCACTGAGTTAGATGGGTTTCGTTCCATTTACCAGTGCCATGTATTTTTCCAAAAGGCCACTTACGAGTATGATGCGTGGTGCAGGTTCTACGCGATCCTGTTCACAGTTGAAATGTTGATCCGGATGGTGGCGGATGGGCCCAGGCCGGAGCCATTGCCCAGCCGGGGTTCTCATTCAAAGCGAAGCTCACGCGTGGCGTTTCCACCAAGCCGAAAAAGTCGGGAACGGGAAGCCCAAGACCTGCGTCGCCAGGCGATATGTTGCAGGCCCTGAGTGGATGTGGAACTGGCTGGATGTCCTGGTTGTGATTCCGGCCTGGCAACTTGGCGTTAGGGTCAATGTTCACCCCTACTTAAACCTCCCCCCCGCCCCCCTGCCACGATTGACCAAAAAGGGCACTCAAACCCCCCCGAGTCAGGGACTTCCGCCGCGTGCGTAGCCCGGTGATTTTCCTGGAGAAAGGGCGGAGGTTCAAGCGGGTCTGCGGAGATTCAAGCGGATCTTCTTTTCCTTGCCGCTGTTCAAAGGGCCTGAAAGCCTTCCAGGCCCTATATTTCCCACCCAATAGGGCACCCGTGTGGGTGGAAGGGGCATCCCGCTCCCTTAAAAGGGGGGGGACAGCGGGCGTTGGGTGGCTTCTGGAAGTTTCTAGTTCTTCAGTTCGTGGGGCGGCAAAATGACGTTTTTGGTTTGGGCCGTTGTTGCAAAATGGCCTCAGCTTTCAAGGTGCACGGGTGTGTCTTTGAGGTTCTTTCTTTCAGCTCGGTTTATCGGGACACCAAAACAAGCACTAGTCTTGGGGGTCCACTCTCTTGGGTGTTCGGAAAAGTAAGTGGTTAGTAACCTGGGGTATAACCTACGTCCCCCAATTGGAGTTGGCATGGCAAGTAGGTCATACCCTTTGTACATTCAGGGGTGAATCCACAGATTCGCCACAGAACCGTTATCTAGAGCATTCAACTTGTGGCTTAACCCTGTTGCCTGGCTTCTAGCTGGGGGAGTGAAAGAAAATAAACAGGATAGACAAGATAGGTAGGCTGGCAGGCGGGGTAGCTAGATAGACCAAAAGACCCGTTTACTCGGGGTTTACAGGGATGGTCACCCACCTGGTAGTGAGGATCCTGAAGAACCATTGTATTCAAGGGAGCCATGACCCACTCGGCCATAGAAACAGAGCTTGGACCACTGGGGATTTCACATCGAAGCCGCAAAACCGAGGCTCGAGCTGATCGTTGACTTCATTGACAGCGAGGTGGCACATAACAGCTCCTCCAACTTCCGCATCATCCGGGTGCTGAGGCGGGGTCCCGCTGGGGTTGGATGGAATCCGGGGATGGATCACTCGACCTTTATCCAGTTCGGGGATACAAGAGACATTATTTTTCCTCCCCCTTCAAAACATGGGGGGGGGTAGTATGTCCCACAGCCCTGGGAGGCTGTGCTTTACCGGCAGATACACAGAGAGACAGCGACAAATCGATAGATGGATAGACCGGATAGCTAGATTGGCGAAGCCTCAGCTTGCGGGCGGTTTGTAGGCCATTGGGCCAGCAGATAGATAGAGTAGGTAGAATCAGCAGATAGCGAGAGCACACACATATAGCCTATAGGTATAGTAGAGAGAGTGGAGAGGGATGGGTGGCTGGATGGATGGAAGGATGGATGGATGTGTGGGGCATGGATGCATGGACGCAGTAGATGCCGCTAGATTTCTTGCTGGGTAGATGGGTAGATCCTGGGATATTTAGATTTGATAGACAGATCGGCTAGACAGGATGAACTCTGCGGGCTGCAGATAGGAACGGTAAGACAGACAATTACCTTCAGACAAATAGATAGCTAGTTTCATGTGTATAGATAGCCAGGCAGCCGCCCAGCAATGAAACTGCCAATGGAGAGCACTAGTCCACGACCAATGCACTGACACTGGCTTCATGGCTTGGCATTCTTCCGAAGCTCTTGCCAAGCTGTATGTGAGTCTTTGGGCCAATTTGGGGAGCTTCCGGCTGTTCTGATTTGGAGTTCTTCCCCTGAAACCGCTGGTTTTTTCATCTTGCATCCAAAGGGGGGAAATTTGGTTGCTGTTTTGAGGGCGTTCGTTGCTTGCACACATTAATCCATCCCAAACGGATCAATCATCTATTTCACCAGCTCACAAGCCCCGAAGAGGGGCGCTTGACCGGGGCAGCAGAAACAGCGCAGGATCACCCGCATGCTGCAAGTCTTGCGCTCGGTGCGCCTGGTGCGGGTGATCTACGCCTTTCGGGAGCTGGTCTTCTCGATCATCGACACCACGCGGCAGCTGTGCTGGGCCCCGCGCTTATCGGCCTTCGGCCTCGCTTTCGTCAGCCTTTGGAAGGTGTTCAAGGGAAGCAAAAAGGAGAACCGCGAAGCCATTTATTTTTTTTTTTTTGGGGGGGTATTTTTTGCGTTCTTTTTTTGGGGGGTCACACCCATTTCGAGGCCCCTGGGTTAAGCTTTTGTGCTTTCCGCTCGTATTTTGATCTGACAGGCCTCTTGGGAACAACTTTGGCCTTTGGCTCTCCGTTGATGCGGGTACGACTTCACACTGCAGGGGTTGGGTTCGCAATTTGCGAGCGGCCGAACATCCAGCAAGCATGACGACACACATATATGCATATATGCACACACACAAGTACACACATTTACACACATTAAAAACTGTATATATACATATATATATAAATACATAGACATGTACATAGGCATGTACATACGCTGCACATGTATAATACACACACACACATATGTTATATATATAAATGTACATACACACACACATATCTATATATATGCATGTTCATGCATACAACGTCTATTAATCGGTGTCTTTTTTCTTCTTCGGCTCTCGGCTCAGGCCTCAAGGCGTGAGATTCTTGAAATGACTCAGGTCACCCGTCGGTTTGGATTTTCGGATTTTTGGAAGCACGGCCGTCCGGTCCTTGAATCGCGACTTCAAAAAGCAGCAATTGCAGGGGGTAAGTGGGAAACCTCCTGAAGCACCAAATCACGGCCCCAAGCCACCCACCCTAGTTGAGGGAAGCTCTGAAATCCCTGCACCCAACTTATGGGAATGCTCAAGCAAGCTTCAGCATTCCATGTTGATAGGCTCTGCTTGCTTCAGCATTGCAGGGATGAGCTCAAGTTGGCGCCAGGCGAGCCTTCAAACAGGGCTTGGCCATTCTTACCCAGGGTGAGTCAAGATTTGCCAGGCAAGCTGGGGGTAAGCCGAAGCGATTGGCAGCAGAAGGGTTTCAGCATGACTGCCCCATGTCACGCTCGACGTGCTAAATAAGGGTGTGTTTTTCTCGACGCCAAAGCTATGGGGGTCCAAATTTAGACGTTTCTTGTTTTTTTGGTTCAAGCCCCTTCCACAGAAGTCTTCGTGGCAGGCGATGTTTTCATTGGCCTTGGTTTTGGAGGGCCGTTCGCAGCCCCGATTCAGGCGAGATCGAGTCTTTTGTTTGTGGGTAGACTTAGGATACATTTTACATGTTGCCAGTGACTCAAAGTGAAGCAAACCATAAAACATGTATGGGCCTAACTCTAATCATGTTTTTTTTTTTTTGCCTGCAGGCAGGCGCTTGGGATTTTTTCAGGTCACCCTGTGGCTTGGATGACTGGAACCCCTAGGTCTGGGGTAAATGGAAAACTCCCCCCCCAAAGAACCAAACCGGGCCCAAACCACCCGTGGGAAGCTGAGAATTTGGCATGCCGTTACCATCCTATCGTTGGAACCGGAGGTTTCGGGGTCCTGAAACGGGCCTGGTGAAAGCCATGTTTTAGTGGAGAGGAGGGTGGACAGGAGGGTATATGATTTAAGGATTTGAGTTGTTTGCTGGATTGTTTTTTCCACTACCCGGCAAGCAAACAGGCAGGCAGGCAGGCAAGCAAGCAAGCCAGCAAGCAAGCCACCCTAAACCCACCCTGAAGGGACCGGAAAGAATCCCACAAATGTGGAAAACAATCAGCAACACGGCACTCATTGCGTTGCTTCTTTGTTCGGGTGCAAGGACATTTGTGTGCCCCGATGGCTTTTCAGGCAATGATTCTCTTGGTGTTGCTCATTTACAGCTTTGGCGTGCTCTTTACGGATGCCGTGCTCAGCCACCCGCACATGGAGGACATTCCGCAGGCCGCGTTTTACTTTGGCAGCGTCTACAAGTCCTGCACCACGCTCTTCAGGAGCCGCATTTCAGCGTTGGACATATTTAGACTGGGTTCAAAATCATTTCGCACCACATTGAAACCATGGGAAACCATTGGTTGTTGGCATTTACAAGGGAATCATCAATCCAGGGTTTCTAAGCTGGTGCAGGATTTCGTCCATCCACAGTATTGAGACCGGGTTCAAAGTGGGTTGCAAAGTCTTCGTGAAAATTTGTCCCGTCCCACCCCCTGAGTTGGATTCTGGTTCTTCAAAGCGATTCGGCGGGCGGTAAGCCGCAGGACCACCCTCTCTGGTTTTGACTGGAACGACGCGGCGGACTCTCTTCTGCCGGTGGGCATGTTTTGGGTACAAGTCTTCCACGTCTACGTGGCATTCTGCGGATTTGCCGTAACTCAGAGTCAGAATTAGCGCATGGGCGCGTCTTTTTTGAGGGCACCTTTCTTCGAAGTTGTTTCAAAGTGAAACCAACGTTTCTTGTTGGGCTTCCCTCAAAAAAGACCAGCCCGTATTTGATTGCTTACACTTTTGGCGTTGTGGGTGTCCATCCCTTCCTAATGACCAGTCCGAAATGATTTTTTTGTGCGTTCTCAGCCAAGGTCCTGAATGTCATCACAGGCCGCGCTGGCAGTTGCAGCTTGCAAGCGTGTGGCCTCAGGAATAGTCATCGTGAGGATAGCATTTCAGAACCTACTGTGTCTCACAGAGCGCAAACAACCATCACCCGAGCTCTCACCGACTTTTTGGGCTCCTTTTTCTATTCTCTTTCGGCAGGCGTCTTCGTGCAACCCAACCCGAGCTCTCACGGTTTTTGTTTGGCTCTGTTTCTTTTTATTCTTTTTTTTTTGGTTTTTCACTCACCGAGTTGTTTTTTTTTGCTTTTTGGAGCCTTTTTCTTTTTCGTTTTTTTGTTTTTTTTTTTTTTCCGGCAGGCGTCTTCGTGAACAGCGCCATCAAGACCAGGGAGAAGGATCACGACACCCTGATGTTGCACGTGCAGAAGTTCAAGGCTCTGGCCACCCGCATCTGGCAGCAGATGGACTCCTCAGGCGTGCGTCAACGGGTCGAGAGAAGTCCAGCGGTTCAGGGCTAGCCCGGGGGACGTTGTTTTTTGTTTTTTGGAGGGACCGGCCGAAAACGTTGGTTTCCAAGGTTCCGCCACTCATGACAGAATGATGTTCCACTCAATAATAAGTAGAATTGACTATGTTATAAGTTTTCCAAGGCTTCTTCGCAAGTGAATTGGGAAGCGCAAGCTTTTTCCCCACTGGCCCAAGGGACATGAGTCGGATGCGTTTGGCGAGGAGCTGCCAGAGTTCCCGAACTCCGGTTTGGCAGAGTCACCCCCCGTTCCTTGCAGTGGGTTTGGGCGTTGAAAACGCATACCTTGGCGCATTTTGCCAAGGGATGTCAGGACTTGAGCTTTTTGCCGACGAATTTGGGTTTTCCGCATTAAGCCACTAAAAGTTATTCACTTTTAGCAGAGCAGATTTCGCCACCGAGATAATCCTTCCTAGATGTTGGTTCCCTTGGTGCACCCGTCGCATCGAGATTCCCGCCTGTTCTTGCGCGGAGCCCCGCGAGAATCTCAAAAGGCGGGTCCCCGCAAAAAGACACCACCCAAACCATCCTTTTTATCCGACTCCCCTTGCCCCCCCATTTTGAGAACAACTAGCCAGGCTTGGGGCAAATCACAATCGACGAGTTCGAGCGGATGTTCGCTGACGCTGACATGCAGGTCTTTGGTCGCCGATTTGGTCGCCGATTTTTCGCTAGTTTCTCTAGGAAACGCAACAAAAGAGTCGGTTCCATAAGGCTAGGTCCCCCAGTGGTGCCCTTTTGCTTCGTTTTTTTTGGGGGGAGGGTTCCCCTACCAAAATAGACTACACAAAAAGGGTGCCCTTATTCTGACCTCCTCTGCTGGAGGACCTAGAAGGCGTACCCTGCCTTCTTTCCTCTCCTTTTGAAAGGGAATGCCCAAAAAAACACCCTTTGTTTTTGACCCCTACTTATGGCTGTGACGTTGCGGTTGGGTGCCCTTCGTTTTTGTGTTGGGTCAGGTTGTCGCAGCTGCCTAGCAGACTGCAAAAGGGGTATATACCCCTTTTGGGGAGAGGGGTGTGAACATCAGGGGCATTTTCCCAAGGGGCATGTAAAAGGGCTATGCACAAGCATTTTACTGAAACTTAATTAGGGCCTAGGTATAGTGGGCAATTCTGCGCCGAATTGCTGAGATACGTTGGGACGAATTCGGAGGGCCCGAAGGGACCCTTGAGGTCCCTGTTGACGCTTCCCCGGCTCATGGGCAGCCGAAGTCCGTGGGTTTTTCGCGCAGCTCGTTTGTTTTGGAACTGCGAACATGGGGATGCTCTCACCCCACTGACCCTCGCATGGTTGTTGTTGGGAAACATTTTACGTGGTTTAGTCGTTGAAATCCCCACTGAACTGCTAAAGTTTAATTGTTTGCTCCCCTTCCAACGTCAACCAAGCTCGGAACATGGCTAGAAGCCAAAGATTTGGAGCCATATTTCAGGTAGCCCTTTGGTTTGGATTTGGATTTGAAGCCCCGGCTCTTGGAGAGGGCAACTGGCTGCTCAACGGATTCCGAAATGGTGGCAAATGGAACCAAAGACTAAAACCAGCGGTTTGCCCGAACTTTTTCATTTTGACCCACAGCCAAAAAGGGAAACCACGCTCCGCACCTCCCATCCCGGCTCCAAGCAAATCGCGAGGCCTTCTTCGAAGCCCTGGAGATCACTGCCATCGACGCGTGGACTCTCTTTGACAGCCACTCTCCTAGTACCGAAGGCAACCAGCAACTTGCAAGTAGCAAAGTCAAAGAAACGCCAGCTGCACATTGCTTTCCTTCGGTGCATTTTGCCAAGGGATGTTAGGACTTCAACTTTTTGCCGGCGAATATATAGTGGGTTTTTTCCATCTTAAGCCACTACAAGTTATTCACTTCTAGCAGGGCTTGGCAGATTTCGCCACCAAGTTTCCTCGGCATACGAGCCACCACATTTGGACTGAGCAAGAACGAAGGCCCGTGACAGGCTGACAAGCTTGGACCCTGGTGCGCGCAGATCTTTTTTTAGATCTGATGCTCTAAGAGAGGGTCTTTTTGTAGGCCCTGCTGGTGATTCGAAACATCAGCTTTTTGATCAGGGCTCCTTGAAAGATACATGTTGCAACCATTTGAGACATGTTGCTTTTTCCCTGTCAAAATGCAGGGAAGCCACCATATACAAGGCAGTGTTCAGGTGTACAATGTACGGATCAACCGGCTGAATATTTTTTGATGGCAAGAAAAGAATTGGTCTCGAGCCGCGGCGAGAGTTCGCTCGGTCGGGCTTTACCTTTGACTTCCTGAGGTTTTACGGGTCGCTGAGGTCTTGATGCAGACGGGGACCACGTGATCAGCTACAATGAGTTCATTGACAGGTGCATGCAGCTGCATGGCAATGCCAGGCGGGGCAAATGACGGCCAGCCAGAAATGCAACTGATGTAATTCGACGCTCTAGCGTTGTTTGAGCCAAGGCGTGTCTTGGCCCAAGAAACCCAGAGGTTGCGGGACCATCCCGGCCGGAAGCTTTGCTCATTGCCCAGGTCTGTAGACCTATTTGCGGTGAAGCAGGTCAGCAACAAGGCAGGGTGAAGAGTTCCGAAAAATGGCTCAGCATGATTCTCCCCCATGGGCTTTCAGCATTTTCAGCCCGGCATAAACTTTGCGAAGGGGGAGCCAAGGTGCTCCCCGGAGTCCTGTGAGAGATCCATTGAGATAAAGCATAGGCCCTTGTCAAGCTTCGTCCGCGTCGTGGTGTGCCCTTCAGAGGCACCTGGAAAGCACGGACTCAAATGCCCGGCCAGGGCTTGCGCGCTTTCGCCCCGCGGCATTGTAGATAACTCTCAATCATGGGTTCTGGCCCCACACGCAAGCCGCAAGACCGAGCTGTGGACCTCAGTTTGCGGACCTTGCGAAGCTGCTGGCAGGAGATTGGGCTGGGGATTTGATGAGCAGGAGTCACCATGGGCCACCAGGTGGACGGAGGTGGAAGCTTTGAGGAGACGACTCCGGCCCAATGCAGGAGGATCTATGGGGCATGCGCCGGTCGAGTTGGTTGTCTGCCGAAAACAGATCTATGACCTTCAGTCTGGTGGTTTGGCGGGCCAGAGTGGCAGGTTTGCAGCCCAGATGGCAAGCCAGCAGCCGAGGAGGTGGCGGAGTAGTTGAGGGGAGAGGAAGGAGGCGGGAGCTTCCGAAGGCTACCGGGAGTACGTGAGGGGGTGGCCCTGCTGGAGATTGGAGAAGGCAAGTGGAGGAGGTTGCGGGTGGTGAGGCGTTTGTTATGGGTTTGATTGTCAACGATGTGCGCAAGGCTGTCAACCACCTGCCTCGACGTCATTTTCAGGCACTTGCACGCCATGTGGGTCTCCCCAACACCTTCATCAAGGCCTGGCGTGATCTTTTGGCCACGTTCTCAGCTGCAGTCAAACAATGGCGATCCGCCTTTCGCTGTGTCGGCATGACCTTGGAGGGTGAGGCCTGCACCGGTACCAAGCTGCAAATGCCTCTGCTTCAGTATGCATCTCTTTTGTTGACAACTTGGATCAAATCGCCAGCAGCATCAGGGACCTGCTTAGCTCCGTCATCACCTTCCTTGCCCTCTTCCATTCCAGCTCGCTATTTACAAGGAGAAAACATACGCCTGGGCATTGCACTCCAAAGACCGTCGAACTCTCCAGCACAAATTCTCTGTAGTAAAGGGACCTTGGCGGCATCATGACCTACAGCGAGCAGCCGTGTACAGCCGTCCATGATCTCACAAAGTCCAGCCTGGTTACAATAGCCTGTCCACTGCAAACAGCAGGTCATCTACCAGGCGCTCTTGCCCACTAACCCAGGTCTTCGCCAAAGTTGTGGGCCATCGTCCAGGACTTTCGCAATGTCCTCATCAAAATGCCCTCGTTGCTGGGAGTATGGAGCGAGTTCATGGATGGATCGCCGGACGGATTGAACAACCAGAGGCCATCATTTCAAGCAACTCGCTCTACCAGCTGCTTGAAGACGCGTGGCATCAGTTTGTGGCTGGGGGAGTGTGACAGCCGCGTCATATCCTCAATCGGGCCTACGTAGGCTGTCTGGAGCTTCTGCAGCTGAGCATCGATGGTGTCTACATTGCCCAGCCCTGCTGCAGAACATCCAATTGCGCGGAGTGTTTGGCGCGATGCTCCTCTTTGTGTACGTGAACCTTCTTCCCCTTGCAACCCTCTTTTCTAGAACACGATGGGCAGGATGGAAGGCTATCTCTGAGACTGACGGACAGGCGGGTCTGCAGGCCGCTTTTTTGTACGCTGCTTTCCGGGACACCAAGATTCTTCGCAGTGCGATGACCCCGTCGATTCTTGGACGGCCCACTGGAATGACCAAGCCGGCCTTGCAGCCAAATGGACTTATCAACGCCGGCAAAACTTTGTCCCGGCTGAGCTTGAAGGCGAAGCTGGTGAGGAAGAAGATCCGCGCAGTGAGACTGTCTCGAGTCCGGTAGAGTGGATCTCTCCCCACTCTGCGCGTAGCGCTCAGGAGAAGAACTTTTGTTGTGTGGTTTGGCTTGATTTCACGAACTTGTGATTGCTTTGCTTTGCGATGTGGCGGGGCCCCTGAGACCTGGCATGATGCTTCAGCTTTTGCAAGCTACTCCCGTGTCCGACCAGTTGTTGCAGCGACGCACGTCTCATTCGGGCCCACTGTAATACAAGCAAGCGGGCCAGCGAGCTTGCCGTGCGCGCGCCCCAGGATCCATTTCGGAACCTGGCAGGAAGGAAGAAGGATTCTAGAGTCCAAGCAGCCAGGGCGAGTAAGGTGTGCGTGGCTGTGCAAGCCGAGGCGCATTCGCTTGGCCCCATGGCCCGTAGTTGGGATGTGGTAGGCATTCGGCGGGCGCCCAGCTTCCAGATTTGCTGGGTGCCGTGGCTGGATCTGAGAGGGCAGAGGGCTGCGGACGGAGGAAGTGGCTGAAAGGGAGGTCTTCGAAAGACCGGCCGGGAGGAACAATGAGGAGCCGGCCTGGATTAGACAAATTGTGCAAGGAGAAGAAAAAGCGGGCGAGTTCCATCAAGAATGAGGTCGACACCCTGATCGATGAGAAGGGTGCTGGTGCAAGAAGAACATTGGTGGAAGAGCGCTGTACTTGAAATAAAAGCTGCCTTTCTGAAAACCATAGCTGCGTGATGAGACTGATGCACCCACCTGCTCTGCTGCTTAAGCTGGGCTATGGTGAGCAGGGCGAGATGTGGCTAGATCTGGAAGGATGATCCCCGCGACAAGTTGATGGCCGGCATCCTGGGTCAAGAAGGGAAGGCTACAAGCTTGAGCAGGCGTTGCGGGCCCCAACCTGTGAATGATCGTCCGGAATGGCCCGGGCTTGCGGGGCTGATGCTGGTCAAGATGGAGGCGCGGTGCCGCGCCTATTCCGGAAGACCGCAAACAAGTCAATGGCCACGGCTTGATGCCGTATGAGGCCTACCGACTGCAACACTTGCTTGGCATCCATTCCTGGAACGTATTCACCGTCGCAACGCGCCCGTTACGTTGATGGGGCAATGGAGTTGGCTACGTGCCAAGGACCAGAAGGCTCTGTGCAAGAATTGTGGATGGCCTTGCAGGAAAATCGTCGCCGAGAGCGTGAGAAATGCAAGCAGTGCTTTGAGGTCGCGCAGCGGCACGAGGAAAGCGATGGAAGTGGAATGGAGGGCGCAAGGAAGGGAGGAGGAGGTGCACCGCTTGGGCGGCGGAGCTGCTTGCAGTTGCAAGACCTGCTGGTTGGGCGCAGTTGGCGAGTGAGCGGCCGGGGCATTGCGGTGCATAACCGCATGATAGACCTGTGCCCGTTGACAAGAGCGCGTGAAGATGCGAACCCCGATCTAAGTCGTGATCGGCTAGATGAGTCCTGGGGAACGCAGTGCTTTTGCTGCAGGTTTGTGTCATTTGTGCGGGTTCCCCGCACAAAAGGGAGGAGTGCAGGAAGTGTGTGAGGTTTATGAAAAGATTTGCACATGGCCCCTGCCAAAGAATACGCGCGCCAAAACCACTTTAAGAATGGGTTGCAAGAAGTTTTGCGTCGGACCCTGACAAGGCGCAGCCAGAAAGAGCCGTTGCTGCGGCAAGTGCTTTGCGTTGGCTTTTGCTCTGCTTTTCTCAAGCACCTTGTTTGTGGGCTGGCGCACGCTAGGTTCTATTGCTGTGCCAAAAGTGTGACCAAGCAACGGCCCGCATGATTTTTGCGAGCCAGGCAGTGCAAACTATTACACATCGTGTCATGCATGTGGGCACCTGGCAAGAAGCAGAATTGAAGCCGCCCTTCGCTCGCGCCCTCTCTCTTGACATTGCGATGTCCGAAGGCTTCCACCAGTGCAAGTCTCAATTTCTTCCAGGTCACTGAGGGGTTTTCCATTTCTTCGCGCGCGGGGGGGGGGGGGGGGCGGTGTGGCGCCCTTGGCTCGCAGGTCTGGGACCAAGTGCAGGCCCTCCAGGAGCAGCAGGAGAAGGCCAGAAGGGCGTCACTGCGCCGTTCGGGTGAGGGGGGGAGGGGGGGAGGGTTGGATTGTTGAGGGGGGGGAGCCGCATTTCGGTCTACAAACCTTTTTTGTTTTGCGGCAGATCCAGGTATTTCTGCCGCCCGTGGTTTTTGTGAAAAGGCGACAGGGATGGGACGCAGCGCTTTCGCATCAGTTCTCCGTTAAAGCGCTTTTCTTCCGAGAGCAGATGGTTTGTCCGTGAAGCAACCTTCCGACTGGGTACTGGCAGTTTAATCGTTTTCTTACATAAATGTCGAAAAGCAAGGGGGTTTCGGCTTCCTTGGGAGGAGGCGGAAGGACATTTGTCATTGTTTTGCCTGGCGTGTTGTTTGAGGGAACTGCTTAAAGGGCAAAAGGAACACCCTGGCCCCATTTTCAGGAACCCCCGTTTTTCACGCCCCGACCCGCCCCGACTGCTCAGACTAACGCGTGCCTGGCGAGCCTTCTCCACCACGCGCTCCATTCACATGAGTCGGAGGACATCGTGTCCTACGAGGCCAGGGATCTAAAAGATGGAAGGAGGGAGGTCTGGAGTTCCATTTATGGTTCCATTTCCTGTGTAAGGGGAAGACTAGATCACTGGAATTGGGGACCCCCCATCCTCCACCTTATGCTAGGGGGGCAAAGGCAAGGTGCATTGAGCCGTCTGCAGGTGCCCAACGAGCTGCTGTTGAATTGAAATATGACAAATTGCCGTGTTGAACACGGACCATTGCCTTGCAGAGAGGCTTCTTCAATCTATCATTCCGGCGCCTCCCACTTTCCATCTTTCTATGGTTTTTCCTCCAAACATGCCGGCAAGAGTTCAAGCTCAGTTGCGGTGCCACTCTCTTTCTCACCGTGCTTATGTTACAATTCTATCATTTGCCACGAGTGGGGGCGGGTGACGACATGGCGTATCATCGCTAAATCTCAGCGTCTTGCGCCAGCGCTGTTAAATTGGCACCAGCAAAATGGCACGGACTCGAGAGAGAGAGGATGCAGAGCCGTTTAGTTACTTTGAGGCTGCTGTATTTGCATTCTTGGCAGTGGAAGTGCTGTTTGGCGTTTTCTTTTTACCGCAAAAGGCCGGACGGCGCCACATCTCTCTAAGCAGCAAGCTCCATTCCGCCAGGTGAAATGGGCCTCCGACTGAGGGGAGTCTGCGGCCTCCGCGGCCTCCGCGGCTTCTGCGGGGCTTCTTCGGCTTCTTTGGTCTCACCTTGCGCCAGCGGGGCCCTGACCTGGGGTAACAAGTCCCCACCAGTGGGTGCTGCACTTTTTGAGCGCGCCCGGCGCCAGCTTCCCCCTCGCTGGCGCAAGAGAGACGCTCGATTTCTCTGAGGGCATGTTGCAGCTCATCAAAAGCAGCTTCTATCCTTGAGCGTCTCTAACGAAGTTTTGCTGTGGCCAGTCTTACTTTGGCCTTGCAGTCGGTTGACTCGTCCCGGTTCATTGGCGTGGCAGGTCTTTTTCAGCTGCGAAGATCCACCCGGCAAACGCCGCTGGAGGTCCATCTTCCCGGCTTCCTTGCATCACAGGGTGCGCTACACCAAGCTGAGCTGGTCTTTAGCTGTCTGGCAATCTCCTCAACATCGTATTCCGGTTTCAGATGTATGCTGTGGTGGCAGTTTTCTGGACCACTGGATCGGCTTGAACTATATATTTGCGGAAGCTTCCTGAAGGCCAATAGGTCCGGCTTCTTGCGTCTGGACTGATTAGCGCGGAGAGCAGTGGCATGAACGCTTAGAAATTGCACGTGCGAGCTCTTTGCATTGTCATTTCTCTTGCCGGTGGGCATTCGTGGTCTGAATGAGCTACAGATTCTTCCAGTTTGTCCTTAGCGTCTCAGGTTGAAATTTGAGCCGCATTGAAGGGTAGTGTCTATGAACTATTAGGCAGTGTGAATAAGATGGTTGCCGGTTCCCGAAGCCAGCAAGCTTCGCCGTGAGATTTGCCGGTGCGGCTCAAAGGGAACCATAATTTCCCCGCATGGATGCGTGCAGCGATGAGGGAGACTTAGGCTGCATGGGAACCGTTCGTGGGTGCAAATCCGTCCGGGTTGAGACTGAAAGGTCCCGCAGTTGCTGGCCAGTCACTTGTAACACCTTCGTGCTTTGCCAAAAAGCTGTGTTCAGACATTGCCGGAAGCAGGACAAGCGCATTTCATGTTTGCCTTACTTTGTGTTCGTCAGGCAAGCATAGTGGACTGCTTGGCTCCCCCCGCGATGTCCCTTTCAACCGTCCATGACTCCGTGATTTGATGGGCACCCTGGGAGCCTTCTGGTGTCAAACGCGCGATTTTTTCTTCCTCCCGGACTTGGACTTGCAACAAGTCCTGGCTAAATTTGGGAGGTGACTCCTCCTAGGTCCAGTAGTGCCCTTTTGCCCTCTCTTTCTTGGGGAGTTTTTTTTTTTTTTTTTTTTTGGTACTAAACTAGGCAGAAACAAAAGTTGATTCCCCGATTCTAAGCTCCAAAACTGGAGGAAGCCTCTCACCTGAGAGCACCCAGGATCTGGATCCGGATCGGAGTCGGGGTCTGGCCTGTCGAGCTTGGAGAACGGATCGGGATTCGACTTCACAGGCGCGCTAGCGGTTGCACCCAGTGGGGAGGAGTGGGGGAGGGTGGAGCTGTGAAATCTGGAGATCTCCATGTCCGGCTGTTTGGCTCCATTCCGATGGAGAGGACGAAATGAAATGGGATCCCAGACTTTCTTTTTGGCCCCCCCCCCTCCGCCAGGTAGAGGGGACGCAGGCGCTTTCGGAGTTCCGTGCAGGTTTCAAGTTCATTCAGTTTTCTGGAGGTACAGGGTTTCCGAGCCGTTTCCCTTTGCAGAACCTCCAAAAGTGGCGATGGTTTCAATGGAGACCGCCATGAAATCCAGCGATCCAGGCTTGCGGCAGCTGCAGGAGGTGGACGACACCAGCTTTGAGGACCGTCTGAAAAGGGTGGAGATCTGCCGGCCATAGGAAGCCGTGACAAATTCAGGTTCGCAGGAAGCCCTTTGCGTGGCATGCCATGATTCAAGTTCGGCTTTGGGCCTTTCGTTTGCGAGTCTCTCATTGCTTCTCCCTCGTTGTGGTGGAGTCGAATCCGGGCCGGAGTGAGGTCGAATGCGGGTGATAGGTGGCGTGCCGTAGCTCTGAGCGGCATAGCTACGCTCTTGACTGATAGGACCCATGTGCCTTCGTGCCTTTGTCGAGTTGACCGCGCGACATTCGGTTACGCCACGGAGCCGACCATTGGAGCTGTCGAGGGACCTGGAGGTGCGATCCAGACAGGATCCATGCCGCGCTTTCTCAAAGCGCTCGAGTTCTAGACTCGCGCGCTTCCTTTGGGTGGCGAATCTGAATGGGAAAGGACCTAATTAGTCCTTCGATGCCATGCCTGCCATCGATCGATGCGCCAACTTGACACCGCGCCAAGTTTGCTTTTTGACTCAAACATCCAGTTGGCATGGAGCACTTTGAAGTAGAACCTCAATGAGTGTTTCTTTTTTTAGGGACCAGGTCCCCCCCCGGGAAAAAATGGTGCGTTGTCCTTTTGGTTTCCTTGAAAACCAACCAAGGGGGGGTCCCTCAAGAACAGACAACCCCAAATTAAAGGAGTTGATTTCAGGAGTTGATAATCACAGAACAGTGGTTTGAACTCTCATCCGCCACAAGAAAGAGATCACACTGGATAGCAACATTTACCACGCACGGAAGCGACTCAAGTTACAAAACATCGTGGCTCCGATTTGCCTAG